GTGTGTGTGTGCCTGTGTGAGCATTTTGTATGCTGGGCACTGAATTTGAGTCCTCTGCAAGAGTAGCTCTTAATCCCTGAGCCATCTCTTTAAGTTTCTATGTTGGGTGTGCTGGTGCGTGCTTTTAATGCTAGCTCTACGGAGGCAGAAGCAGGCAGATCTCTGTGAGATCCAGGCCGGCCTGGTGTTCATAGTGCATTCCAAATGGGCTGGGGCTAGGGAGACCCTATCAAAAAACAAACAATCAAACAAAAACACCACCATCTCTCCAGCTTCCTTAGTTACCTTTTGATGTGAGAAAGTTTTTTTTTTTTTTGGTTGTTATGTTTTTTGTTTTTTTTTTTTTTGGTCTTTTTGAGACAGGGTCTCCCTGTAGCCCCAGCTGTCCTGGAACTCACTATGTAGACCAGGTTGGCCTTGAACTCACGGAGATCTGCCTGCCTCTGCCTCCCAAGTGCTGGGACTACAGGCATGTGCCACCACACCCAGGACTGTTATTTTTTTTTTGAGACAGGGTCTGGCTATGTAGCCCTGGCTGGACTGGAATTACAGCAATTCTCCTGCCTTTCTTAAAATATATTTTATTTATTATATTTTATGTGTATATTGCCTGCATGTGAGTGCACCTGTGTCATGTAATGATGTGGAAGTCAGATGAGGGCTATGGATTCCCCTGGAACTGGAGTTAAGGGAAGTTCGTAGCTGCCATGTGGATGCTGGGAATTGAACCCAGGTCCTCTGCAAGAGCAGTCAGTGCTCTTAACCGCTGAGCCATGTCTCCAGTCCTATCAAACCTTTCATTTTTTTTTGGGTTGTTAGCCTTAGCCTTTAACGGCTGTGCCAGCCCCCTCCTTCCTTTTTTAATGAGCACTGGGGTCACAGGTGTGTGCCACACGCCTAACAAGTCACTAATGCTTGAACACTAACTTTAAAACAGGTTACCTTATTATGTTGTCTTACTGTTTTTGTTTGTTTGGTGTGTATGTGTGTTTTGAGACAGAGTCTCACTGTGTAGTCCCGGCTAGCCTGGAACTCTCTATATAAACTAGGCTGGCCTCAGACTCACAGGGATCCACCACGCCCGGCTAATGTCACACCTTTTAAAACTTTTTTAGTACACTTTTTTACCGTGTGTGTGTGTGTGTGTGTGTGTACACCATGGTACACATGTAAAGGTCAGAGGACAACTTTTGGGAGTCATTTCTGTCCTTCCACTATATGGGTCATGGGGATCCAACTCGGGTCATCAGGCTTAGGCCGCAAGCAGCATTACCTGCTGAGCCATCTCGCTGGCCCTGCTTTGTCTTACTTGGTAGCCCAAATTGTCCCGGAATCCTCAGTCCTTATGCTAGTCTCTGGAGTGGTGGGATTACTGGCATGTAACCACCCCATATGGAATGTGTGTAAGTAGTGATTGAAAACCCACTCTCCCAGCATCTGTCTATAAAACATTATTCTACTTGTGGAAGACAGGGCAGGGGGCAGGGCTGTTGAAAGCCCAAATTTATGATTTTTGTTCTAACAGATTTTTTAGGCCAAGGACTGACCTGAGCTTCTTCCCAAGTCTTGGCTCTTATAATTCTGGTGTTATTAAAATCTCTCCTGCTGGGCGTAGTGGCACATGCCTCCAATCCCAGCACTTGAGAGGCCGAGGCAGGCAGATCTCTGTGAGTTCAAGGCCTGGTCTATATAGTGAGTTCCAGGACAGCTGGGGCTAACAGGGAGACCCTGTCTCAAAAAGACCAAAAAAAAAAAAAAAGCTAACTATATACAGTCAATGAGGTACGGAGCGCCTCCCTCCAAGCTGAAGCAGAGCTAGCAGAAAACACATATCATGTGTCTCTAAGGTATAGATTAATTTCAGGGGCAAGGAATAAGAAAAGGAAGTATGAATGACATGTTTTCGGCTATGTGGCCTGCAACCACGTGTGGCTTGCACTCTAGTGAGATAGGACAGCAGGGCAGCAGATGTCATAATGTTGACTATTAACGCAAGGTGCTCAATGTTAGAGAATGTTGCCCACAGGAGGCAAGGCTTCACTTGTATTGGTCTCTTTTCTGTTGCTGTAATAGAAACACTGACCCAAGCAATTATAGAAGGAAGAGTTTATTTGAGTTTATGGTTCCAGGGGAATTACAGTCCGTCATGGCAGGGAGGCATGGTGGCTGGAGGTGGCTGGAGCAGGAGCAGCAGAAGTGAAGCTCTCACATCATCATGCAGGCACAGGAAGCAAGCGTGACACTGGAGATCCAGCAAGGCTTAAGAATGCCCTAAGCCCACCCCCCCCACCCCACCCCCGTGATGTGCTTCCTCCAGGATAGCCATGCCTTTTAAAACCTCCCAAAACAGCACCATCATCTGGGGACAAAACGTCCAAATACTTGGAGCCTATAGGGGACATTTTCATTCAAACCACCACCACCACATTCCACCCCCTGGTCCCCATAGGCTCATGACCATATAAAATGCAAAATGCATTTAGTTCAACTTTAAAAGTTCCCATAGTCATTATCAATCTCACTACTATTCAAAAGTCCACAATCCAAATCTTTTTTTTGAGACAGGGTCTCCCTGTAGCCCCACCTGTCCTGGAACTCACTATGTAGACCAGGCTGGCCTTGAACTCACAGAGCTCTGCCTGCCTCTGCCTCCTGAGTGCTGGAATTAAAGGCATGCGCCACCACGCCCGGCCAAAGGTAAATATCTAACTGTAAGCCTCTATAAAATCAAAAGACAAATTACATACTCCCAACATACAGTGGAACTGAATACACATAACCATTCCGAAAGGGAGGAATGGAGGCATAGTAAGGAAATACCGGACCAAATAAGACCGAAAACCAGCAGGACAAACACCAAATCCAGTAGCTCCATGTCCAACTTCTGGGACTTTACTTCCAAAGGGCTTAGATGGCTCAGCCTCTCTAGCTTTGTTGCCTGCAACACACAGCTCTCTCTTGTGCTGGTACCACTCCCTCTGTGCAGGTCTTCTTGGCAGATGCCTCACAGCTCTGGCATCATGGACACCTTCTTGGGGTTTCCATTGCCAACTGGGCTTCAACATCACAGCTTCATGCAATGGCCTATCAGGGCCTTCTCTAGGCAGGGGAATCCCTGCTTCACGCTGCCTGGCCTCCAAGGCTCTCTGAAACCATGGAGGAAGAATTGATGACCCCTTAACTCTTGTATCTTTCATGCCTCTAAAGCCAGCACCAGGTGAACAACATTGCCAAGTTTGACTACAAGTTTGGGGTGGACCCCAGCCTGCTTTGTCCATTTTAGCAGCTTTTCTCTTCAGTGGCCCCTGCAGCATTTTCCTTTCACAAGTTGGAGGCTTAACTGAGTGTGGTCTTGCTCTGGAGGTACTCTCTCCATTGTTTTAAGTTTGAATCTCTAGGCCCCTCCTTAATCACTTTAATCTCCTTCTCAATGGGATCCTCTCCATCACATGCCAGGGCTCCAACATTTATCTTCCTAGTGCTCTTTTTCAATCCAAACTGTATTTCTTTCTGCCCCATTTGCTCTTTTTCTCTGTAAAGCTGTATAATATTCATCATTAATAGCCACACCACCATTTCTACATTAGGCTGTCTTGAAATTTCTTCTGCCAGAGAAATTAGTCCATGGCTTTTCAACTTAGCCTCAGGGAAGCTTTTTGGCTGTGGGCAGACTCCAGCCAGACTCTGCCAAAATATCCCAATTGCTGCTTAAGTCCTTATTTCCCTCTGGAACTGCATTGTTCTCAGCACTACTTTCTTCCAGGCGTTTACTAGACTGGCCTATTAAACTCTGTTTACAGCAGTCAAATACTTTTCTAGTCCAAGCTTCCAAAGTCTTCCATATTTCTTCAAAACCTCACATGGTCAGGTTCTTCACAGCCAATAGCCTACTTTCTGGTACCAATTTCTGTCCTAGTTTGTTTCTTTATTGCTGTGACAAAACACTTCGACTACTACAACTTGGGGAGGAAAGGGTTTATTTATCTTACATCTCCCAGGTCACAGTTCATCAGGGAGCCCAAGGTAGGAACTCAGGGAAGGAACCTGGAGGCAGGAGCTGGAGCACAGTTTAAAAATATTTTATTTATTATTTTTATTTTATGTGTATGAGTGTATTGCCTGCATGTATGTGAGTGCATCTGTATCATGCAATGCCACAGGGCTTACAGATTCCCCTGGAACTGGAGTTAAGGACGGTTAGTAGCCGCCATGTGGATGCTGGGAATCGAACCTGGGTCACTCTGTAAGAGCAGTCAGTGCTCTTAATCACTGAGCCATCTCTCCAGTCCCTCAACCTGCTTTCTTATACAATATAGGCCCACCTGCCCAGGGGTGGCACCACCCACAGTGGTCTGGGCCCTCCCACATCACTCAACATTCAAGAAGGTGCCCCATGGACATGGCCACAGTCCAATGAAAGCAATTCTCCAATTGAGGCTCCCTCGACCCAGGTGTCAAGTTGACACCAAAGCTATCCAGCACACTTGGCAAGTCTATATCAGTAACTATTGGATGCCAGGCTCTGATTGATATACAAGATGCTGAACAAAAACGATAGGATCCCCTGTTTTCAAAGAGTTTACAACTGTCTGGGGGAGGCAGCTCCTATGTGCAGTAGATACACACATATATGTTAAACCCATTATTAGAAGCCGTAAGTGGGCTGAAGTGATGGCTCAGCAGCTGCATGCACTTCCTGCTCCTGCAGAGGACCTAGTTTGATTCCCAGCATCCATGTCAGGTGGCTCACAACTACCTGTAACTGCAGCTCCAGGGGATCCAGCACCCGCTTCTGGCCCCCTTGGGTGTTTGCAAGCATACATTCACATAGACATGCGCACATACACATGAACAAAAAAATAAAAATAAATTTATTGGTCTTTTTAAAAAATATTTTATTTTTATTTTATGTGTATGAGTGCATCCATGTCACGCCATGCTGCAGAGGTCAGAAGAGGGCTTCGGAGTCCCCTGAAACCGGAGTTAAAGACGGTTCATGGTGGCCATGTGGGTGCTGGGAATCAAACCCATGTCCTCTGCAAGAAAGAGCAGTCAGTGATCTTAACTGCTGAGCCATCTTTCCAATACTTTTTTGGTCTTTTTGATACAGGGTCTCCTTATAGCCCCAGCTGGCCTGGAACTCACTATGTAGACCAGGCTAGCCTTGAACTCCCAGAGAGCCGCCTGCCTCTGCCTCCCAAGTGCTGGGATTAAAGGCGAGCACCACCATACCCGACATAAAAACAAATCTTAAAAAGAAATCAATGTGACAAAATGTAGATTGGGGGGTATAAGGAAGAAGCCTTTAGGGAAAGCAAGCATTAGGTTAAAACCCAAGGGATGAAGATGAGCATGGTTTCCATACCTGAAGGTGGGGGCAGGAGAATCAGGAGTTCAAGTTAGCCTCAGCTACATGAGACCCTGTCTCAAAAAAAAAAAAAACCAAATCATACTACCTTATCCCTCCCCCCAAAATTACCCCAACTGAAGGATGAATACAAAGAGCAAAGGCTGAGGTGTTTTTTTCCGTTGTCTTCAAGGGTGAGTGGTATTCTCTTCCCTCTGATGAACAGGGGAAACGGAATGGGATTTATGAAAAGGCTGAAAGCACAGGTATGACAGACATGAGGAACTGGGACTCAGTAGGAGGGCATGCGGAAGGAAACCAGGAGGAGGAGCTGGGTAGGGGTGTGCAGTGGGGGTCAACAAAAATATGGACCAGATGGAGGAGGAGCAAACTAGGAATCCGAGTCAGTATATGCTGAGCATTTACTATGTGCCTAACAATAAATCAGAGGACTTCTTCGTTTTGTTATTGTGTGTGTGTGCATTGCACACACGCACATTCCATGGCAGGTGTGTGGAAGTCAGAGGACAACTTTGTGTTCACCTTTATGTGGGATCAAACTTAGGTCCCTGGATTTGCATCACTGGACAGCAAGTGGTGCCTTTACCCGCTAAACCATCTTGGTAGCGCCCCCCCCCCACTGGTTTTTTTTTTTTTTTTTTTTTTGAGGTTTCATGTAGCTTGGGCTAGCCTTGAACTCGCTATGTAGCTGAGGCTGGCATTGAACTTGTGATCCTTCTGCCTCCACCTCCTGAGTGCTGGGATTACAGATGTGCACCACCATGCCTCGCTTATGCAGTACTGGGGAACTACTCAGGACTTTGTGCATGCTAGGCAAGCCCTCTACCAAATGAGCTTAATTCCCAGCCCTATAATACATTTCTAATGAAGAAATACAGCTACTTCTGCCACAGACCTCCACCTACCGCTTCCCAGCAGTCTATGTCAAGAAATCTTGTAGCCTTGCTGGTTACTTCACAGCCAGATGGCATTGATGAGGTTCTGCAGAGAGTAACCAAGAAGTACTTCTATTACGTGAGTGACACACTAGTATTTTGGTGGTGGTGGTGGTGGTGTTTCGTTTTTGGTGCTGAGTATTGAAACAAAAGCCTTACGGGGCCGGAGAAATGGCTTAGCTGTTAAGAGCACTGACTGCTCTTGCAGAGGACCCGGGTTCAATTCCAGCACCCACATGGCGACTACAAACCGTCTTTAACTCCAGGGGAATCCGAAGCCCTCTTCTGACCTCTGTGGCATTGCACAGCATGGGTGCACTCACATACATGCAGGCAATACACTCATACACATAAAATGAAAATAATAAATAAAATATATCTTTTAAAAAGCCTTACACTTGCTTGACAAGAAAGACTTAGACACCAAGCAACATCCCCCAGTCAATTTTTTCTTTCTTTCTTTGTGTGTGTGGTCTCTCTCTCTCTTTCTGTGACAGGGTCTTACACTGAAGCCCAGGCTGGCTGGAACTCACTATATAGCTCAATGCCTGGACTTGAACTCATGGTGATCTGCCTAATGTAGCTTTCCAGGTGTTGCCATTACAGCCATTCATGCTTATGCCTCTCTCTCTTTACTCTTTCTTTCTTTCTTTCTTTCTTTCTTTCTTTCTTCCTTCCTTCCTTCCTTCCTTCCCTCCCTCCCTCCCTCCCTTCCTTCTTTCCTTTTCTTTCTATGAAAGGAAATTTATTCCTTTCATACACACACACATACACACACACACACACACACACACACACACTAAAAACAATGTGATTGGCAGATGGGATGAGGAGATGGCTCAGTAGGTAAAGTGCTTGACATGCACATATGGGGACCTGGGTTTGTACTCCAGCACCCACCCACATAAAAGCCTGGCACAGCTGCATGCCTGCAGTCCCAGGGACAAGGATGGGAGGCTCTCTGGGGCTTGGCAGCCATCTAGTCTAGATGAATCAATAAGTCCTAGCTTCAGTGAGAGACCCTGTCTTAAAGAATAAGATGGAGCTGGGCATGTTGGCAGTCACCTTTAATCCCAGCACTCAGGAGGCAGAGGCAGGCTGATCTCTACATACAGCCTGGTCTACATAGGGAGTTCTAGGCTAGTCAGAGATACTTAGTGAGACTCTGCCTCCAAAGCAAAACAAAACAACAAGACAAACAAAAATAAGGTGGAAGGGCTGGAAAGACTCCTGCATAGGATCCTTGTGGGTCGGGTCACAACTACCTGTAACTATAGCTCCAGGGACCCTATGCCTCTGGTCTCTTGGCCACCTGTACTCCATGCAGACAATTACACATAATTCAAGATAATAAAAATAAATATCAAATACGGTGGAGAAGGAAGGTACCCAATATTGACCTCTGGCTTCCACATGCACACGTGTGCATGCACATACACATGTGCGCACACATAAACATGTACATCACACACATATACACAAAAATAATTTTTAAAAAATCAGTTGTGAGAGTTTCACAACTTCCTGGCTGACCTTAAACCCATAATCCTTCTGTCTCATCTTCCTAAGTGTTGCGATTACAGGCTTGTGATGTTTTCTCTTATCAGTTTGACTGGATTAAGAGATGCTGGGACGGTTAGTAGAGCTTACGTCTCCGTTTGTCTGTCGGAACATTTCTAGGGAAGATTGGTAAATGGCACAGCCACACCTTGAATGTAGGCAGCACCATCCAGAAGGCTGGGGTTCAGATACAACGGAAGTGGAAGAGGAGAGGGACTGAGATTGTAGCTCAGTGATAGAGCACTTGATTGGCACACACAGGGCCCTGGCTTCCACCCTAATGACATACACAAAAGTTTTCCTGCATGGTAGTACACATCTATAATCCCAGCACACAGGAGGTAGAAACAGGAGGATCAGGAGTTCAGGTTCAAAGCAATCAAGTTTGGAGGCTAGCCTGGGCTACATACAACCCTGTTGAAAGACAAAAACCAAAACAAAACAAGAAGGGGGTTGTAGGAGGAAGAGAAAACCAAGGAGCACATGCAAATCTGCAACCTCCACTCATTTTCCCACTCTTTCTGTTGCAGTTGCCGTCCCCCACGGACGCCAATCATCCCAGTTTCTTCAGTCTTGCAATGTGCACTCACATCAGTGGCTCCTATGGACCGTTCAGGCTTTCAGCCTGGCCCTGGGCTGCTTGGGTTTAACAGCAGTTGCCAGGTTCTTTGACTCACCACCATGCAGAAGGTTACTGTAGGACCATCCAGCTGAATTTCCTTTATAAATGTGTATTCTGAGTTTTGTTGCCCCAGAGAACTCTAATACAGATTTTGGTTCTTGGGCTGGTTCTAGAGCAAGAGAACCTGAAGGATAAATTTCCCTTCATTGACTCTGTGGTTTCTGGAGTTAGTACTCTACTCTGACTAGACCTGAAGTTGCTAAGTGCCCTCCTGATAGAATAGAACACAGGGAAAAATCCTTGGCAGGAAGTGTTTAAAATATGCAAAGTAGGGGCTGGCACAATGGCTCAGTGGTTAAGAGCACTGGCTGCTCTTGCAGAGGACCTGGGTTTGGTTTCCAGCACCCACATGGAGGCTAATAATGACCCATAACTCCAGTTCCAGGCAATCTGACACCTTTTTCTGGCCTCTGTGAGCATTTCATGCATATGGTGCATTTACATACATACAGGCAAAACACTCATATAGCTATATAAATAAAAACATTTAAAATTATATAAGAAAGAAAAATGCAAAAGAATGCATTTGATACTCCTAATTCATTACTTGTGAGTGGCAAGGAATTTAATGACTATACATGATACTTTTGAGTATTTCTGGAAAACTAAGGAATATAGTGTTGTTGGTTGGTTGCTTCTGGCATCTGTGGATAGAGTAACGAAAGAAAATCAATTCAGGCCTTCAATTTCCTAGCTCCAGATGTGCATAAACAACCTAAAGGCTTCAAAGTGTGTCCTGAAGGAGAATCTTCTGTTCTGTAGTTATTGGTAGTTATTGGGCTGAATTTATTATTGTCAAATAATAAATAAATAAGAAAGAAAAAAAAAGAACTAAAACCAAAACATGAGCACAGAGCAGCACACTAAGGTTCCCGCTTGTAATCTTGGTGCTTCGAGGCTGAGGCAGGAGAATTGCTGTGAGTTGGAGACAGCCTGGAGCTACAGTGAGAGCCTGTCTCAAAAACAAACAAAACCCGCCAAACCAAACCAACCAACCAACCAAAACCAAAGCCAAAACAAACAAACAGCTAGGCACAAGCCTACTGTGATTGGCTGAATTACAATGTGTTTTAAAAAAATATTTTATTTATTATTTTTATTATGTGTATGAGTGTATTGCCTGCACGTAGGTGAGTGCACCTGTGTTGTGCAATGCCCATGGAGGACAGAAGAGACTGTCAGATCCCCTGGAACTGGAGCTATGGACAGCCATTAGCTGCCATGTGGGTGCTGGGATTCAAATCTGGGTCTTCTACAAGAACATTCAGTGTTCTTAACTGCTGAGCCATCTCTCTAGCCCCTACAATGCAAGTTTTTTGAAAAAATTATTTATTTTTTTATTTTATGTATATGAGTGTATTGCCTGCATGTGTGTGAGTGCACCTGTGTTGTGCAATGCCCTTGAAGGTCAGAAGAGGGCGTTGGATACCCTGGAATTGGAGTTATGGATGGTTGTTAGCCACCATGTGGATGCTGGGAATCGAACCCAGATCTTCTGCAAGAGCGACCAGTGCTCTTAACCACTGAGCCATCTCTCCAGCCCCTACAATGCAAGTTTAACGCTGAGCTTCAGAGTGTCTTCAGGTAAAGGGGCAGTTTACAACCCATGAGGAGCACTACACTCCCCTTCCTCATCTCCTAAGAGCATCTTGAGTTTTCTCTTTTTTTAATTAAAAAAATTATTTTATTTTTTATGAGTGTTATGCCTTCATGTATGTAAGTGCACCCGTATGGTACAGTGCTCACAGAGGAGGGTATCAGATCCCCTGGAACTGGAGTTACAGATGGTTGTCTGCTGTCATGTGGGTGCTGGGGCTTGAACCCGGGTCTTCTGCAAGAACAGCCAGTGCTCTTTACTGCTGAGCCATCTTGCCAGGCCCCATGAAAGTATCTTGAGTTTTCTAACTCACGCAAGCGGGGGGCTGGGGAACATGTATAGAAGTTGATTCTAAGGGTGTGGGACAATGGTACATAAAATTAGATTGGGTTGGATTTATTGGTTTGAATCTGCTAAGCAGAGACTCTGGATGCAGCTCATACACTTAAAAAGGGTGCTAAGAGCTTATCTAAGAGCTTATCTGATTGGTTGCCTGAAGTATGGGTCAAAAGATGCCCACTGTGAGTGAGCTAAACGTGCCCTCTATCCCTTGCTTTACTACTGATGGAGGGATTTCAAGGCTCTGAGAAACTGGAATGCTGGCGTGAATATGTTGTGTAAAATAGCCACACAATGTATTCAGGGGATCCAGGTATGGTGATGCAAACCTTTGATCCCAGCACTCAGGAGGCAGAGGCAGGTGGATCTCTGTGAGTTTGAGGCTAGCCTGGTCTACATAGTAAGTTCTAGAGATGGGAGGATCCCATCTCCAAGCTCCAAGATGGGAGGATCCAGATGTGTCCTTTGTCAATACTTTGAAAAGCAGATTTGTGAGGGAGCACTGGAATCCCTAAAGAGCTCTGTCACTGCTCAGATGCCAGACCTTACAGTGAGAGCTGCAGTCACTGGGAAACTTAAAATGCAATTCCTATAACAGAACCCTGGCGTGGTGGGGCCCAGTGGCAGTACTCAAGTCACAAAAGCACAAAACTCATTGTATTGGACAGCCAACATAAAACAAGAATCAGAGTGGTCTGACTCATGCAGACCTATGGTGTTGGCTAATTAATCATGGTGTTCCCAGAAGTGAATTAGATAAGAGGCTTACTAAACTATTTGATCTGTATAAGCAGAAATTCCAGGCAAAGAACAAAAGGCCAGCTTGAATCACAGTGATAATTACAGCCCCCAACCAAGTCTCAGACCT